ATATTTACTATTTTTTAATAATGTAGGTTTTTTAGATTTATTATTATTATTAAAATATTATAAATTATGATGTAATTAAATTATATAAAATTGGATTTTAATGAATAATTTTATAATTATATTAAATATTAAATATTTTTCATAAAAGTCACAGTTAAAAAAGCTTTAAAATGAGATTTTTGATTTTATATAAAAAAAATTACTATGTGTTGCAACTTTATATAGTTTTTAAAAAAAAATAATCTGAAAAAAAATTTATCAAATACACATATATTACGTGACTATTCCAAACGCACCCATTAAAGAATGCCAAATATAGAAATATTGATAGAGTTTTAAAATCGGGAATTAGGAGCCATTTTTTACTCCACTAGGTTAGGTTAGACTACAGCTTGATGGAAAGTATTATCGATCTTCCATTGAGAATAATGGATTTTTTTACTTATGGGATGCGAAAGTCGTGTTCCAACAACTTGAATGCTTTCTATATATGTTCATCTTAACAGTTGAGGAAGAATGCATTGAAGGTGTTTGCTTTATTGCTTCTGAGAATTACCCACCTTGAATTGAAGTGCTAATTGCTATTCGTATAAAGAATTTTTTTTTTTTTTTGTTATCATTAGTTTTCTCTCCTGCTCAAGCTTTAGGATGTTAAGAGCAAAACTTGAAGTACTTTTCAGCCTCATGGTCCTTGCTTTCTCTTTCTTTCCTGATGCTTGTATGGCTAGAGTTAAATACAAGCCTTGCCCCCCTTTTTCTTCTTTTGGAAACCTCAGTATTACATACCCTGTTCGATTAAATAGTGATCCAGTTGAGTGTGGTGAGACAGGGCATGAACTAATATGCGATAATAATCGCACAACTTTGGTCACAAAAGAAGGGAAATTCTTTGTTGAGAACATCACAAACTCTAGTGTTCGACTGGTTGATGCCAGTCTTCAGAGGGATATCTGCTCCATTGCTTGTAGTTCCCTTCTTCTTGAAGGCGCTTGTTGGAAAATGCCTCGTTCTAACTATCTTGTGTATTTTTTAAATTGCAATATACAGATGAATTCATCACTCTATGTTGATGCCTCTGCTTGTACCAATAGATCTTTTTCTCCATATAATTACTTTTTTGTCTTCAATGAACTAGCACAGGTATCTGATTTCAATGAGTCGTGCACAATTGAAGCCCAATTTCTGATTTTTTTCTCTAAATCACAGGCATATCGGCTTCTGCTATTTACTTTAAGCTGCTAGAGGGTTTTGAACTGGATGAAGATTGGTTCTCCTTGAATAACAAAACCTGCATCTTTTCACGCAAACTTACATTGGAGGATATGTAAGTATTTATAAACTTCTTGACATCTCTTTACTTAATTCATTTGATATGAAAAATTCCCTTTTCTACGCTCTTCTACTACTCAATGTTCTTTCATTCTTTGTTTTTGCCTTGATATCACTTAACCAGGTTTACTTAACATTGTAGATTGGGACCAGTGAAGTATGCATTACAATTATATTTGGACAGCTTTATATTTTTCCTTCTGGGTGGCCCCCATGTAAGGGATAACACGAATTTTCCACCAAATAGTATGCCTTTAGTAGTTCTTATGAATTATATGTTGTGGTTTTAATGGTCTAATGCCTATAATCAAAGCAATCAACAAACGCAATCAACCACCCAAAACAAAATAAGCAAAGCAAGTAAAATAAAAAGGACACCAGAATTTTTACTTGAAAAACCCAAATGAAAAAACCATGAAGCATTTGCCCAGATGAAAAACAATTCACTACTAAAAATAGATTACAACTTTTGGATCTAAATCTAAATCTCTCAAAGTTCTAGTTTCACCGAGGAAGACTTGTTCTCAACCTCACTCTCTTTTCTACACAAGTTTCCCACTCTGTTTTTTTCACGCACTCACCCATCTGCACTCTTTTAAATTTTAAACAAGAGATAAAATAGGGAGCTTTTGGATACAAGAATAGTAACACTATCCTATCAGGGACTAACATGTTAACATATCGAAAGTTGGAGGAGTCCACTTTGCTTTTCCCATTTTCTTCAAGAATAGGAAATGTCCATGTCAAAAACTACTGTGCATCTTCAAATAAAAACTTCCCAAGTTTCTGCCATTCACCGTGCACTCAAGGTGCACCTCCATTGTTGAGCCACCCAACTTGGGAGGGCTAGCTCAACATTACACTCATTCCGTTTCACTTTCTCCTTCCTAATATTTAACTATTCATGTGTAACCATGGCAAGGAAGCTAGTTTTGAATGAGCTAGCATTTATCTCTGAGTTAGAATGAGAACAATTAGGAAGAATGAGCATCTACTTTAGTTTGTTTTAAGTGAGTTGTGTCTGTTGAAGCAATAAAATAGAGATGCATTTTATTTATCCACTTAACAATTCTGGGTTTCAACATAGATCCTTAAACCGTTTTGTTGAAGACAATGGAATAATCCAGCATGGCCACTGTTCACGTGCACTGTTTATGTCCAGTTCAGTTTCATTAAGTTGCTAAGAAGTTTCTTTATTGATTTTCCAATGTAATTGTCATGTATCTTCGATGTTAAGTAACTCATCTCAATGTATGGCTTGATAAAACAAGGACAAGATTGGCTGAATTGCTTGTCTCTTATTTATAATTGAATTCAAATATATACAAGGCATTCTGCTAAGGAAATAAGCAATGCAAGGAAAGAAATAATATAGACTTTAGTTCCAGGAAATCAATGGTAATCTAGAGAATCAAATCTTCAATTTAATGACAAGATTGTACCATGTAGCACTCTCCTTAACATGGCTTTACTTTAATTGTATCCATGTATAATGCTCCATGTCTTGGGGTTTTAGTATTATTATTCAAAGGTAGTAGGTGAGCCCTATAATGTAACGACTTCTACCTACAAAACAAATTTGTATTGATGAAAAAGGCATGGAAGGTAATGGAAAAATCTGAGCATCATCTCTACCTTATTTCATGTTATTTTGTTCTTCTTATTGCATGCTTCTCAAGATTATCTTTTGACTTTCATGTTGATTGGAATCAGTTTTACCAACTGATCTTTACACTTTTTGAACACTACAAGACATCGTTCCTTGTTTCTAAGAACTACAATCACCAAACATGGCCAAAGCACTAACATTTAGTTACAATGCAAATGTCATTCCCTCATCAGAAGCAACAGATTTAAATGGTTCATTAATACAAACAAGCTAGGATTGAGAAATGAACAGAGCGTAAAGAACACTAGTGTTTCATGAATTACAATAGTACTTTGAAATTCTAAGTATTTGAAGTCATAGAATCAAGGGATTTGAAGATCTCCTCTACTAAATTTGTACTGGGAGGATCATTATCAAAAAATACAAAAGGCTTTGGAGGCATTTCAAGGAGTTCAACTTCGCCTTCTAGCACCTCCAATGCCTTGCTCATTGAAGGGCGATTGGTAGGATTCATTTGTATGCACCACAAAGCAACCATGATCATCCTCCTTACAAGTTTTTTTTCACCCTCTGTGACTTCATTCAACATCATATCCTCTCCTCTATCAAGCTGCTTATAAATCCAAGTGGGGAAGTATATCTGACTTGATTGCTCCACTCGTTCATTTAAATTCTTCCTCCTCCCCACCATTTCCATCAATAGCATTCCAAAACTATAAACATCTGCCTTGTATGAGATGCCACCAATGTTCTTGTAAAATAATTCAGGTGCAATATATCCCATAATAATGAGAGACACAATGTACCTCGTGCAGCTGTGAGAGACACAATGTACCTTGTGCAGCTGTGAGAGACACAATGCTGTCACCAACAGGATATAGTTTAGCAAGACCAAAATCAGAAAGTTTGGGACAAAATTTTCATCCAGAAGAATGTTGTGAGGTTTGATATCGAAATGTAAAATCTGCATGTGACAACCCTGATGCAAGTATTCAATCCCTCGAGCAACTCCAAGTGCAATCTCAAACATCTTTCCTCAACTTATAAACACATTGTTATTTTCTCTGTGAAATATGATCTTATCCAAAGACCCATTTGGCATGAAATCATATACAAGAACTTGTTTTGATCCCTCAACACAAAATCCAATAAGTTGCATCACATTGACATGATGAATCCTTCCAATTGTACCAACTTCACTGATAAAATCCTGACCATTGGCTTTTGATTTGCTCAACAATTTTACTGCTACCAAACGACCACTTCTAAGTTTTCCTTTAAACACAAAAGCGAAACCTCCTCCTAATTTTTCCTTAAAACCTCTAGTAATCGTCTTTATTTCCGAATAAGAGTATCTAATAGGCATGAAATTATTCTGTTTTTGGAGAAACTCTTCAATGGAATCATCCATGGACATATGTCTCGTCTGAAACTCGTATATAATGATTGCAACCAAGATGGATATCTCCAGCAAAGCTCTTGCTAATATAATTCCTCCTAGTCAAATAATTAAATAGTAGAACAAATAGTTATGAACAATCTCATACTATCTTGGACTTTCTGCGCAAATTATAAAAGAAAAAAAAGGAATGCATTACAATCGCATGATCATGGATGATAGGCAAACTGAGACTTACCCAAAACTGCAAGAGAATGAAGAATGTACTTTCCTCTTGTCACGAAGAATTGCCAAACACTATCTGTTTGAAGAAAAGACCGTAATTAGAAGATTAATTATGCCAGTATATACAAAATTGGCAGAGAGAAAAAGTGTAATACATATTAATTATACCAGTATATTATATATATATATATACCATGAACCATCAAACTAAATCACAAACTGCAGAAGACAGGACTCAAACCTCATACTTAAAATATATATAAAGAAGGCAAAATATGGAACTTCAAAGATTAGTATTACCTCTATAATCTGTACCAGAGGCCCATAATAATGAGACGAGAAATGGAAGAGAATAAAAGAAGTTCACCACAGGCACGATCAATGAATCTCTCACCTCATGCCATAATCTTTCGTTCATGATGTTTCACATTTAAAGCCCAAAAATTTAAAGACAGGTTAGACTAATTAAGGCATAAATTAATAGTCAAAGCATAATAGTCATTTTTTGACAGGAAAATTCATTTTCAGTTAAGAAACGACTATTATTAGGATGATAGAGTGAGTAATGAAAAGGCCACATAGGAGGGACTTGCTTTTGGATACCTGATTAGCAATGAAGGTTTCATACAGGGCAACGCTGATCTGTACCACAGATGCCGTGGTCCCATTGATGACAGCTGCCTGAGAATATCAACAATGGACCGGCCTTTGATGCTTGGATAAGTAACAGGAGCCTGGGCTATGACACTGCACGACTCATCAAAATCCTTGGCCAATGTATCACTACCCAAAGCATACAAGTAGGTACCTAAAGCAGAGGAGCTGGTTTTGCTCTTGTTCTTGCTCTTGCAAGGAGAGGCGTCAACACATAGAGAGGAGTTTATCTGCTTATTGCATTGTACGAAATAGATATAATTAGGTTGGTGAGAGTTCCAACCAACATGGATATGATCTCTGGTAATCGGAATTCCCTCAAGGTTCCAGAACTTTTGAGGAATGGAACAGTAATTCTTGTGCGAATTAACATTCTCTAACAATAGTTCTTCCATGTCATAATCTATCTCCTTGACAAGGAAATCTCCGAATTCCCCGTGCAAATATGTGTGGTTTTGCTTGCAGGACAATACAATCGGACGATTGCCACACACGGGTGTATCATCCCGCAATCTAAAAGGGCAATTTATAGTAATATTGCCACAAGAAGTTGCACACTGCTGCGGTGCTGCCTGATGGGTCGTTTAGCGACCCACTTCACAAGTAACAGAGAAAGAAGAATGGCCATGATGAGGCTGAAGATTATCGATTTTGATGCAAACATTATATAGATGATGGGAGGTATTGAGAGAATGGTGATGGCAATTTTGGTTCAATTAACGGCTATGAAGGAGAAGGAAGGAGGTTATTAAATTCATCATCTGTCAATGTGAATGCCATTGCCATTGTATTGTTAGGTAAAGCAAATAAGGAGATGCTTTCTATTTCTTTAATCTATGTGTAAATAGAATTAAAGAGCATAGATTATAGACCCATCAAATTAACTATATCTCCGAACCCAACCACTTTTCAGCATCTCTTGGATTTCAGTAGCGGACGGTGGAATTCCAGCCGCTTAATGCGTTTCACGGTTTTGCTAAAATAAATTTTCAAATGCCAAAAGGTCTTCTCACATAGGTTATTGTGATAATAAAGAGCCCCGCTTTGGAAATATGTAAAGGAAGTTTGACAAATACATGGAGAGATTACTTAATTGTTTATTACCTCCATTTAACTTTAGGATAAAAGCATAGCTTAAACTGTTATTTTTTTTTTTTTCTTGGCCATCACAGCTTAAACTGTATTTGTATTAATCTTTTTCAACAAAATAACTGAAAAAATGCTCTATTCCTTTTATTTAACTTTAATTGTTTTAGTTTGAATTTTCAACTTTTAAACATTAACTTTATATGAAAATTTAACATGGTATATAAATAATGTTCCAAAAAAAATTTTATCAAACAAAACTGCTTAACAAAAACTAAAATTAGGGAAAAGAAAATTTTCAATTTTCAATTTTCAATCGTATATTTTGTTAAATTTTCATATGAAATTAATTACAACAGTAGTCCCTCTCTTTTAAGTATATGTATACTAGGTTCCCAATGTTTTTTTTTTTTTTTTTTGTTTCAAATCTGTACCCCTCATATTTTAGGTCATGGGTTTAGAACTTAAACCCAAACATGACACAAAAAAACACATGTGACATGACACATGTAACTCATGTAATTAACAAGATTATAATACTTAACACGGTAAAGTTGTAATTAAAACAAATTTAATCCACATTAACATAATTAAGGGGTCTATCTTTTACTTCATGCCTCTCTTTGAAACTAGAAACCCTAGTCACATGAGAGTTTTGTCCCTTCTTCCATTCTACGGTAAAGAAGAGGGGTTTGGTCTTGTCGATCAGGCTGGAGCCCTTCGGCAAATCATGCAAGCTATTTCTCCCTTCTTCCTCATCCTCTTTTTCTTTCTTTCTACCTCTTCCTTTTCCCTATCATGTTTTGGTTTGGTGTTGATGGAAGATGAACTGGCTATAGATGGAAAGGTGGTGGGGTTCAAATACCTTAGCAATTGATGTGTTGAGTGGGATCAGGATTTCAATTATTTGGCAGGGTGATAAGCATCCATGGTTGAAAGGATTCGCCAAGAGAGGAAAACAAAGTAGTGGTGTGATTTGGCAAAGGGTTAGGTTCTTATAGAGGAATATAGACACATCAAAGGCAAACACATGTGCTAGGTATAAGTGGAGGATTATCTAAATGGGTTTTTAGGACAATGACTACTAGATGAAAAGGAGGGGAGGGTTGGTTCCCTTCTTTGGGCATTCAACAGCAGGTTTAGGTTTCCAATAACCGTTTGGGCACTCATAAGGTGCTGATTAGTGATGAAAAAGTTCAATAGGTGTTGGAGGTATGACTCAAAGTTTGGTCAGGAAAGCGACGAAGGTTTAGGGTGACTTTTTATTTTTTATTTCCTTTTTTGCTTTAAGTTAATTTTCCCTTTAGTAGTTTTTTTTTTTTTTTTTTGAATAAGGTAATTAAAATTACAATTATATTAGGGGATGGGGAATTTGTTTGGGTTAAGTTTAGATGTGATGGTATTGAGACACTTGACCATGCGGCATTGGAGGAAACAAGGAAGTTTGGATCCAATAAACGTCATCTACTTTTCGAATGGTAATGATCATTACTTCACCATAATATTCTATTTTAATAGTTATATCCATTTTTTAGTTGTGAGTTTTTTAGAATTAATCTTTGAAAATCTTGCTTGTTTAAGGTATTTTCGTATAGAAATAATTCATTTTGTTTCAGTGACATGAATTTTAGATTAAAATTATTCACATTGACAGTACTCAAATTTTATAAAAACTCATTTCCCCTTTTTCAATTAATATAGGTAAATAATTTGAAGTTATTAAAAAAAAAAATACTCTCATACAGCTTTATATAATAGAAAATTAATGCTTGTCTCACGCATGCTTACACTAAAATATTACAAGCAGAGACGTTCGTCATCCCGTTTCTTCCGAAACTTCTTATCGTAGGGGGAGGGCGGAGCCGCGTATTTTTACTTTTCCATTCCAAACTTTTCGAGGTTCAGATGTGATATTTATTTTAATGTAAATTGTGCTAGAGAAATTTCTTGTTTTTAAATAAATACTAACTCGGAGTTATTGAAAGATTCTCTCATTTAAAAAAAAAAAAAAAAGTAAATGTGGTATAATTTAATATAATTTAAATTATATAACTGTTCTTTTTATTTTAAGATAGTATTATTTTATAATTCTAACTAAATCAAATAACAAAACATCAGTCAAGAAAATCTTTATTCATTATCAAAGGATTTCTCATCATTTAATAATTTATATTTTATAATTTAATACAATTTCAACTATAAAAATTTTTTTTTTTTTTCAGGACAGAGGTAGTAGCAGTAGCATCAAACAACGGTTTCAACAAATTATTTTTATTTATTTATAAGATAAACCTAAAGTTGTGAAAGCATTCAACATGAGAAATTAAGAAATACATTTTTCTCAAGTAACTCCACTAGTATTATCAGTGCAATGACCATTGCCATTCAAAAAGTAATGGAACACACTGAACATAAAAAGCGATGAAGGATTGTATATGTAATCATGCATCCTGAAGCTGTGGAGGTGGAGAACTTCGGCAAAGTGGACAGGAAGCATTCAGCCGAAGCCATTCATCAACGCAGTCAGCATGGAAGCAGTGGTGGCACTGAGGGATGGTCCTGAGGGTCTCCTTGGGCCTGTACTCAGACAAGCAAATTGGGCAGGTGTTATCGTCGGGCTTGGGCAAACGCCTGCTCTCACCAAGCACTATTTTTGGGTACGATTCTATTGTCGGTCCATCAAGGCCCACTATGATGGTTGGCTGTGGTGCAACCGTACGATTAAGATCCGGGGAATGGTGGTGGCGCCTCATGAACTTGAACTTACTACATAGGCAACACAACAGCCCTAACAAAAACAGGATGGCTGGCACTCCGGCACCCAATACGATGGCGTAGCTAGCGCTCCTTGGAATTCCTCCTATTAATGTTACACTTTATATTAATTAAAACAATAAAAAAAGTGAAGCACAATTTATTGTATTGTATTTCTTATAATCATTGATAAAAAGATAGACCCTTAACATTGAAGGACAACCCTTCATCAATGGTTTAAAAAATGCAGTCCGCCCAACATTCCCTTGAAACAGGAAACAAAAACATGAACTAAAAGCCTAAAACCTTACATTGAGCTACTTCCCAATTTTTTGGGGGTTTTGTTTAAGGAATTCAGATTATGTTACTTTGTCGTTGTGAAAAAGTGTTTACTAGAAATCAAGCATTTGGACTTTCCTCTAATTTCCGAAGTCAAATAAATCTAACTTCATTATCGCATTGCAGCACTACATTCACTTTGGTCAATGTTTTGGCGTAATGAATACGGATTAAGGTCAATACTTAATACGCGCAATAATAGAAAATTAAAAAGAAAAAAAATAGGACTTATTCAGAAGAAGTCTAGTTTTTGAATCTGATTTATCAAAATCTATCATCATTAAACCATTGAAGCCTAGCTTCATAAGTTAGAGCTCTTAAAACTTTGAAATTTTAAATTTAACTACTTACGTTATGTGGTATAATTCATTAGATAATTTAATGTTTTGTTCGTATTGAATTCGACTTTTGATTCTCTAGGAAACTAAAAAATGGAATCAGATGTTGATAATAGTTCAAAACAATAAGAGAATTGATCTGGGATTTAGCAACTTACCACGTTGGGAATCATATGAGCAGACAATTTTACGGTTAGAATTGGTCTTGAGCCCACACTGGCCACCCCGTGACTCACATTTGCCGCAGTTGGGTTCGTCCCAAGTGAGCCGGAGACCATCACTGAGGCCCGAAGA